CCCTCCTTGAAACGCCCAGAGTATGTTAGATGGAGCTTCTGAATCCTTGCCTCCAAGGAGCAGCCTCACCCTCTCCAGGACGAATCTGTTTGTTCCCCTAGCAATCCATGGTATAGTCAATACTCTTCTCTAGCACTAAAACTCAAAGGTATCAATTCTTCTTCTATCATCCTTAGTCATTGTCCAGCTCTCTGATGCAAGTAATTGCAAACACCATGGCCTGGATCAGGTACACCTTGGTCTCTAGACTGACATCCTTGTTCTTCAGTACTCAGAGAGGTCCCTGACGGCAGATTTCCCCAAATACAATTCATCTTTTGACTTCCTGGCTGCTGGTACCAAGAGTTTTAGTTGTGGCGCCAAGCAAGCTGAAGCTCTTAACAATCTCAGTCTCTCTACCATCTATCTGATGGTGCCAATTTGTCCGGTGGTGAGAATTTTTGTTTTCTTGATGTTGAGCTTCAGTCCATATTTAAGGCTGCAGTCTTTGACTTTCTGAAGCAAATGCCTCAGGTCAAATAAGCTTGCAATTTACAAAATATTTCAAAATATTCACTCACTCATTGCCATCCAGGCAGGACTGACTCACAGCTGACTGTCCAGCAGGATTTTGAAGCTGTAAATCTCACAGGAGGAGACTGTCCATCTTTCTCCCAAAGAGCCTATGGTGGATTTGAACCATCAGAGAGGCATGGCTTCTGGGTTAACAGCATATCTCCCTACAGACTACACCATTATACGAGCCTCCAAATCCTCTGTGATTGGTGATGTAAGTATTATTGACATACGGGGCTCATCAACAGCTTTGGAGTTCTGAGAGACAAGTGTTAGGTAGTTAATTGTTAAGTGATAGAGATAAGGCTTCAACCCAAAATTGTTTGCTTATTTGTCCCAATAAACCACAGTGGCCTTTCACTTCATGTGTCAAACTGTGGTAACACTGGACTCCAGGCAGATCACCTTCTGACCTTTCCTAAGTCACAGGGTCATGAATGGAGACTATTGCCCAAGGGAATTCCTTGAACTCCTTTCTTTCCTGTCAGAGGTCATGAGTGTCAACCACTGCTTTACCTTCTGACCTCTGAAGGCAGGGGAGTGCAAGCCTGGTCTTACTGTTCAAAGACCTTATGGATAAGTTATGGGTCTGAATTCTGATGGTGAAATCAGGGTTGAGAACACCAGCTGTCAGTTGAGGAGCCAAGAGTGAGAATGTCTGTGGAGTGGTGGCCTTGCTGGTGAGAGGAAAATCAAGGCACTTGAAGCCAAAAGGTAGGACTCTGATGAGATAGTCTGAAGTTAGGGATTAGCAGCAAGAGATTTGCCCCCTAAAAGCTTCAATAGGGAAAAATAAAAATAAGTCTGGAGAGGGAGGACATCCATGCAGTCACACACCAGGGCAGTGAGAGCCTTCAGCAGGCTCTCCATTCTCAGGCTCCGTTTTCTCCAAAGAACTGATGTTACCAGGTGGGGATGAGTTACAGATGGAACCCGCAACACACAATCCTGAGGCAAAAGGGGTCTTCATCGGGAAGCTCTTTTGCCAGAGGCTTTCCCTAACCAATTCTCTGAACAACGCCTGGCCCTCCTCATCTAAAACACCAAGTGAGTTCTAGGAGTTAAGGCGTGGGAAGCAGGCTTTTGCCAGGTAAGCCAAACAGCTACTGCTTTGTCTGAAGATGACCATCTGAGCACATGCAGAGGCGTCCATGCAAGAAGGAAGCCTTACATGATGTGTATGTGTGTGTGTTCATATGTAGGTGTGTGCATGGGCATGCCATTGCCCTGCCCGCATCTAAAAGCAGGCCAGGCCTTCATAATCCCATCTCCCACTCTCCTTCCTCCCACATTAGCTAACCAGCAAAACACAGCCCCCATTCTGCTCAGGAATGTGCTTTCAGAAACTTAATCTAACTGCTGAGCCTGGGCCAAATCCCCCAACGGCATCAACCCCGAGACAGCATCCCCTTTCTCTCACCTTCCTACCGCTCCATGCCCCACCACTGTTAGTATGTAGGTCTAGGAGGTTGTGTGCAGCCCCCTTTGCTGCCCGCTTCTCTGATCCCCTTTTCTCCACAGCACATCTGGCTTTCTCGTTCACTCTCTCTTTCTGGTACCTTCTCCATCCTTTCAGTCAGGTCTAACCATTTCACTTCTGATTCACGTCGAAATGACAAGCCAGGAGTTCTGAGCTTTCCAACAGGATCTGCTCGGCTCCAGCACAAGGCCCTTCTCTCACTGCATCTTCTTGAGTAGCAACCAAGCCTTCCGCTTTGTCCTCACTGCCAATTGCAGATCCCCTCAAGCACCAGAGAAACAGCAGCCAACTTTTTTTTGTTGTTTTTGTTTTCCCCAAATAAAGACTATAAATCATCTCTTCCCACAGAGATACACCTTGAAGTCGAAGGAAAGAGCCAAAATCAATCTTTAACTCTCCAACTCTCCTTTCCTTCAACTAATAAAATTCCCCGACTGACTCCTAATTAGGCCAAATTCATGATCAAGGAGTTTCTTAAAAGGACTTCTACAGACACACATGCTGACCATTTGCAGATAAAATCTTCCCTTCCCCCTCTTCTTCCTCTTCCATTAGCAGCATCACCTTTTAAAGGCACAAAGTGCTCAAAGACACGTCTCATTTAATAATGAACCACTGCAAGGATACCCCTGCCCAGAAACAGGATGAAGGTCAGTGCACTATGGTATGGCCACTTGAAGGGATGTTCTAGGACTATTAACAATTATGATCGTGCTCTATTAGGGAAGGAGGGTGCATTAAAGGAAAGGATCTAAGAGAAGCTCCTGGAATGATGGCCAATATAAACCTAAATCTAAACCCATTGCTGCGAAGTCAATTCCAACTCATGATAATTCTACAGGACAGAGTAAACTTCTCCACAGGGTTCCCAAAGCTGTAATCTAATTTGCAGAAGCAGACTGCTCCATTTTCCTCCACGTGAACTCGGTGAGATCAAACCAACAACCTTATGCTTAGTAGCTAAGAGCTTTACCACTATGTCTCCAGGGCATATAACAGGAGGTTCCTGTCAGTGTACTTTGTACTTTGCATACTCTACTCTCTACAGCTTGCATTTCACACTTAATAAACAAATATAAATTCTGATGTAGCTAATGAAGAGTGTTCATAACAAAAGGGAGAAATTAAAATTGGAAACTACATTCAGTAGCATCATTACGACGATGTAAAATTGTGGATAAAGACTCGATGGATAGATGGTAAAAGTAGATGAGGATGGTGGGTTTATAGGAACAGTGTTTTCTGTGTACTCTAAACTTGCTACAGTATAACCACAAACTTAAGAAGTAAATAAGAAGTACAATGGTAGGACAAAGTGTCATAGGTCTGAACTCAGTCCTACTGGCTGTGATTCTCTCCCTTCCAGCTCCCACTTCTCACTTCCATCACTCAAGTCTCCTGGCATGTCTGCACCCACTCCTGACAAACATAGATGTAGGATCCACTTCCCTTGCTGAGCTCACAATACTCAAATAGATGCTTCCACTGTATGGGGAGGGTGTGAAAGAAGCAGCCCAGGATCAGCTTGGCCCTGAGGGGAGACGGTGGACGTATATCTTGCCTTTATCCCTAAGACTACTTTCCAAGCAAAGGAAAATGCTGCCTGCGGCCTCCATCTGCTCTCCTGATGAGTGAAGTCCCTCCCAGCTCTGTGGACCAGTAGGCAGGGAAGGGACTTTTCTCCTGCCCCAGCTCTCAATACTTTCTTCCAGGATTTACTCCTCACACATCCACAGTCCCAAGCTCGCTCTGATGCAGGGGCATTTTGGAGGTTTGCTGACTTAGGCATGACCCCTAGAGACCACCAACCCCCTGAAAGCATGTCATCCCAAAGGATTGCAATAATGGTGAACCGGGAAGCCTCAAGCTGAGCAGTAAGGACAGAGGCCCCTGCCAAGTCACGAGGGACCCAATGCTGGAAATCACCTCAGAGTTGAAATTCAAACACCATTAAGTCCCAACAAGTTTCCTTATTCCCTACAGCTGAGGTTCCAGGAAAGTGGCCAAGTTGGAGGCGATCCTTAATATTTCCTGGCTCTAGGCTCAGAATATAAGAAAGACTTCTCTGTAGCCTTCAGGAGTTTATTTAATCAATCAAGTCTCATTTTCCCATGTGCATGATGGGAAGAAAAAGCATATAATGTATGTACTGTGCCTGGAACACAGGCCACTCAAGAGGTAATTAAATATAATAGTCATGTGAAGTCTTCTCCCAGCATCCTCTTTTTACCTGTCACTCACGCCCTCTCTTCCCTTCTCTGCTTTGTCACAGTTTGCTTTCTGTCCTCTTTGAATGTTTATATCCTGGTCATTTGAGATTTGCTTGCCTCTCACAGAAAGATGGGAGGTCTGGCATGGGAAGGCTCTGGCAAGGCTCGTACAGTGTCTCTGACTGTCGGCAGTGAGGATGAGAGAGCAGGTGGGAGGTGGTGAACAGAGAAGGAGTTTGCACAGTGGTATCTAAAACCACAGAATGCCTCAGCAGACGGGCGAGGCAAGGCCTAAGCCTGAGACCCACAGAGACAGGTCCAGCCTGTCAGTTGGCCCCTCCCCTGGAGTGATTCTAAGCTTGCCCCCTCTACTTAGAGTGAAACTTTGCAATAGTTCAATGACTCCATGCTGGAATTAGACCATCTGCAGATTATAGGGCATGAAGAGCTCTCTGATTTAAAATTTCAGTTGTTACAGTACCTGGTATAGTAAGACTCACTCACTCTCATTGCCATCAAGTTGGAGCTGACAGATAAGTGGGTTTTCAGAAGCTGTAAACCACATGGGAGGAGACTGCTCTTATTGTTCTTGTGGAGCAGCTGGAGGATTTGAACTGCTTACCTTTGAGTTGGCAGTGCAGCTCATTATGCACTAGGCCACCAGAGATGGAGTTTATGAATGGTAGGGAAGAACGGGAAAGAGGAAGAGCCATCACAGTAAGGCAGAGGGACCAAGGACAGGGAGCCCCACTCACTGGCTAGTGTCACGGTGGCTGGCACGCTCGCCACAGCTCCTGCAGGCATCCGGGCCACACACTGGTACCGCCCCACAGTGTGGTTGCTGAGTGCAGTGATGACGAGGGTCCCGCGGGTGATGAGGACCCCCTGAGCCTCATCTGAGCCGTTCAGCTCCTTTCCATTCAGGCGCCAGGTGATGTTCATCCCTGTGGGCTCCACAGCACAGCTCAGAATCACAGTTCCTCCTGGCTTCTGGACGGTGGAAGGGGGCTGGACAGTCACCTGAGGCACCTCATCTGGAGAGAGAACAGAGGCGCAACAATGACCCACCCAGGCAGCCTGCAGAGCTGAGGGGATAACCACTGAGTTATCCTACTGCCCTTGGGTCCACTCCTCAACTTGTCCTTATTTCCACAAAGAAGTTTCCAGGTAGCAGTGAGGTGCAGAGACCTAAGAGTTTAGGCTTTAGGGTTAGAGATATTTGGATCTGAATTAAAATACCACTACTCTTTTTTTGTTGTTTTTGTTTTTAATTTTTTATTATTAATTATTATTATTATTAATAATAATTTTAATGAACATCTACAGAGATTTTGGAATTCCATTCATTCATTGTTGCACTTTTCTCCCCACCCACTCACCCCCACCCCCACCCACAGTTCGCTCCTCTCCTTCAAAAGCAAAAGAAAAACTCCTTCACTGGTACACTAACCCCCCTCCCCTCCGCCGCACATCCCCACTCCCACCCCAAGTATACTCCACTCTGCAACCCTCATTTCGGACTCTTATGATAATCATAATGCCCTAAAATATATTAATTTTAAACTATTCTCTCCCTCATCAGCTTCAATGCAGTAAACATAATTTATCCAGTTTTTCTCAGTCTTACCCCCACCCCAATGTCAGCCTCATTCTACAACAGTGGCACCATATAATATTTGTCCCTTTGTGACTGAGATATTTCACTCAGCATAATGTCCTTCAGAGTCACCCATTTTGAATAATATTGCATGAGTTCCTTGTTTTTCAATGCAGCACAGTATTCTATTGTGTGAATATACCACAGCTTCCCTATCAATTTGTTTGTTGATGGGCACTTAGGTTGTTTCCAACGCCTTGCTATTGTGAACAAAGCCGCAATAAACATGGGTGTGCATATATCTGCTTGGATGTCAGTTATGGTCTCTTTGGGGTATATTCCCAGTAGTGGAATTGCTGGGTCAAATGGTATCTCTATTTGCAACTTTTTGAGAAAGCACCACACTGCTTTCCACAGTGGTTGCACCCTTTTACACTCAGACCAACAGTGAATAAGGGTTCCAGTCTCTCCACAACCTCGCCAGCATTTGTTGCTAGCTGTTCTGTTAAATTTTGCTATTCTTACTGGGGTGAGATGATATCTCATAGTTGTCTTGATTTGCATTTCTTTCAGGGCTAGGGATTTTGAACATTTCTTCATGTGCTTGTTAAAATACCACTACTCTTGAGCCATGTGACCTTAGCCTCTTGAGTCTCAGTTTCATAACTGTATAATGTTGCTGTTGTTTTTGTTGTTAGGTGCCATCAAGCTGACTACAACTCAAAGCAATAGATTTGAACCCTGTTCTATTATGTGCTATCCTCATGATCTCCATTATCTTATCTGTAAAATGGAGCTAATAATACTTCCACACAGATGTGCTTTTAAGGCTTAGAAGCTATGTACATTGCCTGTCATGATATCATATAGTAAGTGCTCAATAAAAGGAACTGTTGATCCTTCTTGTGACCCCTCCTCCTCTGGTGAGTTTCTGAAATGGATACAACCTTGCTGTCTCATCCTGTATGCTTGGGCATGTGCCTGAAGGCCAGTGAGAGTGCAGGGTTCTTTGAAATCCAGGAAGAGGAAGGCCTTTTGAAAGAGTTTCTGTAGAATGCTAACGCTTCTATTTGACATGAGGGGCAAAGTGTTCTTCCAAGAGGGGCGGGCTGAAAAAGGGAAGGCAAATACTCACGGGAGGCTGCCAAGCAGCTTGTGGCAGCTGAGAGGAGGCAGGCGAGGGCGAGGGTGACCTCGGGCCTCGTTGTCCCACGCAGCATGGTGTAGCACAGAGGGTCCGAAGCCAACGTCCCATAAGCCTCCGTGTGTCACTCAAACAGATAATGCAGTTCCTTACAATACTCTGTAGTGAGAGAGAGAAAGAGAGAGAGAGATAGGCATGGTGAATGAATGCCTGAGATGGTCCTGAGGCTGCCACGCAGCCCGGCTCTGTCTCCCGGCTCCACATAGGCTGCTCAGATTCAAAGTGCAGACTGGAAAGTTGGACAATCCTCTCTCTCATGCCATTTTTTCATCTAAGATATGTTTTTCAGGAGTTGCCCCCTTGATCTAGAAGCTGATATTGTTCTTACAGGAACACTAATGCAGACTGCTATGGAACAGCACTGGCATGTATACAAAATATAGAAGGTTTCTCTTTTAAGGGCTATTACTAATAACTGAGTTATTGATTCAGTAAAGATTTTCTCCATGATTTTCCTTCTCCCAGCTCTACCCTAGATTCTTGAGAACTCTCTTCTATTTCTGGAATTAACCCCACATATCTTAGTGATCTATCACCTCAAATGGAAAAAAAAAAAGTCACACATTAGCCAAGATCCCTCATCTTTTTAGGGCATAGGTCTTATTTTCACTTCAGTTGCTGGCTTCCACTTCTGTCTTCCTTGCTATGGAAGCTCCAGTGTTTTCCATTTTCTACAAAAATCAGTGTTCTTGGAAATTTCCCAGGTTGCATCTCTAACTCAAAAGTCCTATAGATCATGTTGTACCTCCAGTTGCCTAGTGACACAGCACAGCCAGCTATCCACCACCTTCACCTTATCTTCCTCGATCTGCAACTTCTCCTTGTCCACAGTAGCATTTCTTTATGCCTCCCTCAAACTACTGTCCTTTAGAAGTCATTGAAAACATGTAATAGCAGACGTATATGCTAATACACTCATTCATCTGTGGCAGTCAACATTAGTATTTTGCTTCTGTTACTATGATTTTCACTGATATGCTTATAGAGCATTAAGTTAATAAGAAAAAGGATGAATCAATATCATTAGATTCCTCCGTGTGGTCCAAATGCTTTGTATCTTGGCTGAAAGGTTAGAGGTTTACGTCTACTCAGAGGCACCAAGGAAGAAAGGCCTGGCAACCTGCTTCCCCTACAAAAATCATCCCTTGAAATCTCTACACAGCATAGTTCTACCAAGACCTATAAGGGGTCACCATGAATTGGGATCCTCCTGATGGGAACTGTGTTTTTGTTTTGCTCTGAATCTCTCTTCTTTAGCAGAAGGTTAGCATGAGCTTTGGGTAACATTCAAGGCAACATGCCAATGATGTGGGGGCAGTGAATGATTCCTCCTCAGTCATGCACACATGTTGTCATGACTGATAAGGGTAAGGAAGAGTTCAGTAAGAAGTTCTTCTAAAGATTTCTTTTTTATTATGATTTAAGCAAAAGTTTGCAGAGCAAATTGGTTTTTTCCACTCAATTCATACACATTTTGCTTCATGACACTGATTGCAATCCCTCAATGAAACAGTACCCTTCCCACTTCCTCTTCGTTCTAAAAGGGTTTTGAAAAAACTTTAAAAGAGGCTTTTCAAAATTGCCATGCCTGACAATTTGGAATAATTTCCTGTGGGCACAGAGATAAAACTTTTTGGTCTTTTAAAAACAATCCAGTAAATCAAGGTGCTATGTTTTTAAATGAGGAGGTCTGGCCTGGTGCTGATGTGGGTTAAGACTTGCGCTATAAATTTAAAGGTTAGCAGTTCGCATCCACCAGAAGCCCAGAGGGAGAGAGATGACAGAGTGTCCTCTCATTAAGATTATCAGCCTTGGAAGCCCTAGGGGGTTGTTGTAATGGACCTTACACGATTGCTCTGAGCCAGGATCAAACTCCATGCCAGTGTGTGGATGATGTCATTCATTAGTTGCCATCAAATTGGGTCCAATTCCTGGTGATCTGTTTATGCAGGGCAGAATTCTGTTCCTATGGCTTTTCAAGGCTGTGACCTTTTGAAAGATCACCAGGCAGGTTTGAACTGCCAGCCTTTCAGTTCTTAACTGACAACACCACATAGGAACTCCACTTAAATTTATTAGGTACCATCATGTCAACTATGGCTCATAGTGACTTAGGAACAACCGATTGGAACTTTGCCTTATGCTGTGCCATCTAATAAGCACGAGCCCATTATTAAAGTCACTGCATCTATCAGGAGAGTGAGTGCTACTATGTATACTACTATGCTTGCTATGGTGCCCAGTTAAACTCTCTTTTAATCCTTCCCACCACCCTACAAAGAGGACACTATTATTCCCATTTTAAAGGTGAGAAAGTTGAGGTCCGGAAGGTACTTTGCCCAAAGTCGCACAGTGGTAGGCCTGAACCAGAATCCAGGTTGAGCGGATTAGAAAATGCTGTGATTTTGACGATGATACCATTCTACCTTTTTGCATCTTTTCTGTCAAAAGCCTGCATTCAAGAATACTTGCTTAAATGGTGGCGGAGTTAAGATTCACAGCCTTGGAAATCCCACGGAGGGTCTTCATGAGTCAGCAGACTAAAGGCAGTGCGGTTTAAATGCAGCACAGTGAGGAACTGTAATGGTTCATTAATATGTATGCAAACTACTACCAAAAAGCTCCTGGCATTCCTTCAAATTTCCCGATGCTTGTTTGAATCCTCTAATTTACAAGTCCCCTGTGAAATAATGTATTAACAGAGAGTATAGCATTAGTTTCTAGTTTGGGGATTGAGTTTGCTAATGACATACTCAACTTTTCCCAGCCAGTGAGGGAGCGTGGTAACACCTGTTCCTCTGTCAGATCACTGGATGGTGCAGTCAACAGTGCTCATCTGCTAAGTCTATCCATTAGGCACCTCAGAAGAAAAGCCTGGCAAACTTTTTTTTAAAAAACCTCACTGAAATTCTTACACTCTGACACATATGGTGTTGCTATGAGTTGCATGCAGTTAGGGTTCCTTTCCTGCCTTACGGCAGGAAAGGGGTGAGGGAGACAGCAAATTAATATAAAATAGCAAAAGGCAAGAAGACCAAGCAGGAAGGGAAAGCTGTTTCTTATCAGAGCAAAGAAAGGCTTCAGAGGTGTCTGGGTTGTAAAGTCGACAAAGGTTTTACTGAGGAAATTCAGCCCAGACCCCCTTCTGTTTAACGAGGCCCTGTCAAACAACCTGGCTACTTCTACACCCTCCTTGATTTATAAAGTTCAAAATGGAAACAGATCTGGCTGCC